TCCAAGTTCAAAGTGCCAGGCTCTAGGGGCTGGGTGAAAGCCCCTCAACCTTGGCATCCAGCTCTGCCTCCTGCTCCCGGCCCACTGGAGCTAGAGGCGTTTCTTCACTTAGACAGCTACAGGCTGCTGAGGCTGGGAAGCCCAAAGTTGACAAGTAAAAAGGCACAGTCCCGATGTTACCAAACCACACGGCAGGCCATTAACTTAAGTGCATTTAAGTCCCAAGGTCGGCAGAGCATAGCAGGCTGCTGAGCAACGACACGCTATATGCAGGGTCCAAGCGTGCCATAGGCTAGAGACCATGCCCAAAGGCTTCTTCTTATATACAGGAAGCAGACCACATCCCAAAGGCAGCTACTCAGTTGCTTGTGGTAGATCCCACCATGGAGCTGATTGCCAGTCTCATCATGGGAGATAACTACCACCAGCTGCCCAGCCACTCAACCAGGCCCAGCCAAGTTGACACACAAACCAAACTACCACAAGGTGTCACATCTATTAAATGATAGGACTGGAATTTGAACTGTAGTCTGATTCATAGCCTGAGTTCTTAACCATGAGACAGTACTGAGTGACTGCTGCCCTCACCAGCTCTGTCCAGCCATGGCAGTTAGGATGTCCCTGCTGATACCTAACTAAATCTCACTCACTGGCCTGGAAGTCCCCCGCCTCTAAGCCACCTGTGAAAAGGTGGTTGTTGTTGTTTGCCGTCGAGTCGGCCCCGACTCATAGCGACCCCTCCTTGGGTTTCCAAGGCAGTATCACTACAGAAGTAGGATTGCCCAACCTTCCTTCTGAGGAGTGGCTGGTGGGTTTGAACCGCCTGCCTTCTGGTTAGCAGTCAAGTGCCTTAGCCACTATGCTACCAGAGCTCCAACACAGAGCTGGAGAAATGGCTAGAATGGCCAGCAGGGTGGGAAAGTCTGTCTTTACCACTCTGGGATATTATTCCCCCAAATTCTGTCAGTTGTTCCTCTCTGTCCCCAAACCCTAGGGACACTTTACCCCTTTCTTGTTTTCTACTTTGGACCTTCCTCCTCATCCCACCTCCCCCCAGGGCTGCCCACCAACCCACTTTCTGCCAGACCTTGCTCTTGCCCAACCATATTCCCTGTCCCAGGCACCAGTGACGTTCTTCGACTCCACACCCACGGGCCGGGTCCTAAACCGCTTCTCCTCCGATGTGGCCTGTGCGGATGACAGCCTGCCCTTCCTCCTCAACATCTTCCTGGCCAATGCAGTAGGCTTGTTGGGCCTCCTGGCTGTGCTGAGCGCTGGCCTGCCCTGGCTGTTGCTGCTGCTGCCACCTTTGGGGATCATGTATTACCGCGTGCAACGTCACTACAGGGCCTCCTCTCGGGAACTGCGGCGCCTGGTCAGCCTCACCCTGTCCCCACTCTATACTCATCTGGCTGACACCTTGGCTGGCCTCCCAGTGCTGCGGGCGGCTGGGGCCACCTACAGGTGTGTGAAGTCTGCTTTTCCCAACCAGAGCCCAGGGAGATGGGTGCTGAGAGGAGGGGAGGTGAGGGTATGTGTGGTGGTGGGTGTAGAGACCTTAGGGGAGAAGGGAAGGTTGGAGAGCACTAGGTGAAAGGGGGTGGAGGAAACCCAAAAAAAGGCATAGTGAAATAGAGCAGACCTCAGACCTCACTACAAAAGTGCATGTTGGCATCTCTATCCACCTGAGGGAGCCCTGTGGGTTTATCGGTCAGCTACCAAGAAGGACATGTTCTGTCAGGGAGGAGCCTGGATGGGCCAGCGGAACAGTGGAGCAGCCTCACTTCCTTTCTGGCCTCCCTAGGTTTGAGGAGGAGAGCCAGCAGCTCCTGGAGCTAAACCAGAGGTGCCAGTTTGCTGCCAGTGCCACGATGCAGTGGCTGGACATTCGGCTACAGCTCACAGGGGCTGCAGTGGTCAGCGCCATCGCTGCCATCGCCCTGGTGCAGCACCAGCAGGGCCTCACCAACCCAGGTGCCCCCAGACCCTTGCCCTCACCTCAGAAGCAAGTTACTCCAACCCTTGCCCCAAACATCTCTCTGCATTGCCCCCTCAACATTTGCCCCCATCATCCAAGGCTTCCACTGAGGATGCGTTATAATGAGCATCATCACCATCTTCCTCATTTTAGAGTTGAGAAAACTGGATCTCAAGGAGTGACTTGTCCCAGGTGGTGGTGGATCTGGTATCACTGTACATCCCCACCACTCTGGCCCTGGCCCACCCATCATCCCTCATAGCTTCTCCTGGCCAAATCCACTCCTTTGCATCTAGCCCCCAGTGGTCCCAGCCAAGATCCTGGCATCTTCCTGCTTCTCTGCTGGTTTCCTTTAAATGGCCACCACCCACAAGCTTGTAATTCTCCCATCTGACCCATCCCCACTCTGTCACACACACACACAGATATACACCAGTATCCCCTAGCAGCTGGTGCTCCTTTCTTCCAGGGCTGGTAGGCCTGTCGTTGTCTTATGCCCTGTCCCTGACAAGCCTGCTGTCAGGCCTGGTGAACAGCTTTACCCAGACCGAAGCCATGCTGGTGAGCGTGGAGCGACTGGAGGAGTACTCTTGTGACCTGCCCCAGGAACCCCAGGGCCACCCGCTGCAGGTGGGCCTGCACCCATTCCCCAGACCTGACCCAGGCCAGAGCTCTGGAACCCTGAAGGGTCCCTTGAAGACCCAGTCTCTCCCCTCATTCCATTCCTTTCTTTTCCCCCATCTTTCTCACATGACTTTCACCTTTCTTCACTGTCCCTCATTTTATATCCATACTCCTCATCTCTCCTGCACTGTCACTCTTTTTCCCACCTCTGCACTTATACCATCCATTTTCTATTCTCTGTTTTCTCCCTTTGTCCTTTCCCCTCCCCACTACTCCTCCCCCTCTCACTCCTCTATCTCTCCTGTCCTCTTCCATCTCCCACCCATGGACCCCACCAGCTGGGCATCGGTTGGCTGACCCAAGGCAGTGTGGAGTTCCAGGATGTGGTGTTGACATATCGGCCAGGGCTGCCAAATGCCCTGGATGGAGTGACCTTCTGTGTGCAGCCTGGAGAAAAGTTGGGCATCGTGGGCCGCACGGGCTCCGGGAAGTCTTCCTTGTTCTTGGTGCTCTTTCGGCTGCTGGAGCCCAGTTCAGGGCGAGTGCTGCTGGATGGCATGGACACCAGCCAGCTGGAGCTGGCCGAGCTCAGGTCTTGGGGAGGAGGGATGAAATGCGGGGCAGGGAAGGAGGGAACTGGATCTGCTGGCACATAAACGAGGCCCAGCTAGCAAGAAATAAACTCTGACCCAGCAGGGGTGAGAAGGAAGATAGGACAAGCAGTTGAGGAAAGCATCCAGTTACTCAGGTCCACATTCATAGATGGCGGGTCTCAAGGCCTTCCTCAGCCTGACCCAGGGGCTCCTTTCCAGCTTCATCTTTCTTATACTTTCCCCCCATACACCATCCACTCTAGACCAGACAGTCACTGCCTTCGAGAGCCTCAACACTTTCCCAGGATGCTGATCCCTTCAGCTCTTAAACTTGGCAGCAGTGCTTAGGACAGCTTGAGACCTGGGCCAATTGCCTCTGGCCACAGGTAGCCTCATGTGGGACAGTATACCTGCATCCTCACATGAACCTATTATTTTCTCTGAGTTCAATAACATAGAAAAGCTAGGGAAACACTGTCCTAATGCTCTGTGCACATGACCTTCCCCTGCCTTCTCTTCTAAGTTGTGGTGGCCTTGCCATATAGCTCTTCAGGACGCATTCAATCTTGAAGCATCTCTTAACTGCTCAGTCTTTCTGACCATTCCTTGCCAGGCAGTGCTGGCTGGATTCAGTGCTGCATAGTTTAGCCCTTTCTTTTTCTGTTTTTCTCATACCTCACTGAGATGTAAGTTCGTGAAGTACAGAGCATAGGCCTTTCATTCCTCTGGTATGGCCCATAGCTGCAGCATAGTTCTAGGTACATGGATGACTAGTTGTTTATCTGGTGGGGCTGGGGGGCAGAGTAGAGTGGGACATGGTCAGGTCTTATCCCCCAGCTTTTCTGGAGGCGCTAGTCCCTATACCTAAAATGGGCTGGGAGCAGAGTACCCATATCTAGCCTAAACCCCATTCTCTGTCCTTACCTTGTCCCCCAGGTCCCAACTGGCCATTATCCCCCAGGAGCCCTTTTTGTTCAGTGGGACTGTTCGGGAAAACCTGGATCCCCGGAGCGTGCATGAGGACAGGGCCCTGTGGCAGGCCCTGGAGCAGTGCCACCTGAGTAAGGTGATTACATCCCTAGGTGAGTGCTAGGCCCCGCCCTGCAGGGTGGCAGGAGTGCAGGTTGGGAGGGAGTTCTGTGAGCAAGGAGGCAATGGAAAGCAACCTAGAACTCAGGGATGAAGATGCTCTGCCTTGCAGGTGGTCTGGACAGTGCACTGGGTGAAGGCGGCCGGAGCTTGTCTCTGGGGCAGAGGCAGCTGCTGTGTCTCGCCCGGGCTCTTCTCACAGATGCCAAGGTAAGGCAAGAGAGAGCAATGGTCAGGAAAGTGGCAGAGGACATGTCGGGGTGAAGAGGTCAGTTTGGGAAAGTCTCAGGGATGAGATTAGAGAACATTCAGAGTCAAGAGTGCTAGGTTTCCTTTTCCTTTTCCTTTTAGAGCTGGGGGGTGGGTGTTCAGTGAATAGGGCCAAGGGGTAGGGCTGATGCTTGGGTAGGAGTCAAGGCTAACTCTGTCCTTCTTCCTCCTCCCCCACCCCCTCCACCTGTTCCAGGTCCTATGTATTGATGAGGCCACAGCCAGCGTGGACCAGAAAACAGACCAGCTGCTCCAGCAGACCATCCGAAAACGCTTTGCCAGGAAGACAGTGCTGACCATTGCCCACAGGTGTGCAAATGTCTGTAATGACAGTTTAATCAAGGGCTCTAGTGGCATGGACCCAGGGCTTCCATTCCTTTCAGGGACCCAGGCTTGCCTATCCCCCTAAAATCTCAGCTCCTCATGCTCTAGACCTGGTCTCTATGAGGGGACTCTAGAATAATAGACCTGGGTCGTTTATAACACATTATCTGAGGGAACTGTTGCTTCCAGAAGGGGGCTTTCTCCTTGAGGGCACTGGCCCCCACCCCCTACACTGACTGACCACCTTCTCCCACACAGGCTCAACACCATCCTGAACTCAGACCGGGTCCTGGTGCTACAGGCTGGGAGGGTCATGGAGCTGGACTCCCCCACTGCCCTGTGCAACCAGCCCCACTCCCTGTTCCAGCAGCTACTGCAGAACAGCCAGCAAGGAGCCCAATCCTCTGCCTGAGGGCCTGGCCCCCACTCCACTGGGTTCTCCCATCACACTGCCCCTCAGTCTGCACCAGCCACTGGGCCAGCAGAGGCAGCGACCACTTGTTTACATCCTCCTCTGAGGATCTACTCTTCCCTCACCTCCCCCAGAGGGGAGAAAGGGCATCTTGGATTCCTCTCTGGAATTCTGATGGGCAGAATCCAGAGGCTTCCTCGGAACCTGGCTTGTGCACTGGAACTCCAGGCAGGTGTCTCTGGGATAGTAGCCTACTTGAATTTTCATAGTTTTATTTGATAAAATTCCTATCTTACATTCTGTGTATTAAAAAAAATAGCATTTCTCGTGTGAGGTTGAGGTCCCTCAGTGTGTATACCCCTGGTAAGGGGTGACAAGAAAAGACCACTACAGTCTGAGGCATGGAGGAGGGCCAGAAAGCCCCCCACCTCCATCACAGCGCTGTGGTCTTTCCAGGCTCACAGGGCAGGTCAGGCATGAAGGGGAGCCCAGCTGGCAGCATGCTGACCTGACACTCCTGGTCCTGGTGTGCCGGGGCATAGTGTGGAGTCGGGTAGCAACAGGGTCCAGGGGGATGGATGCCCCGGCGCCAGGCCCTCAGGGTCAGCAACCCAGTAGCCAGGACTAAAGCAGCAGTAAGAGCCCCAAACACCACCACAGCCACCAGGCTAGACTCCGCTAGCCCCACCTCCTGCCTCCGTACCACCTCCTTCACGGAGATCCGCAGCAGACCAGCCCCAGCGCTATGAGAGGCTGGCCCCGTGGCGGGTACCACCACAGCCGGGGTGGGCCCCAGGGGAATGTCCACCATGGTCGGAGGGTCTGGGCCTGGTAAGACAAGCTCACAAGTCTTGCCGCCAAAGCCACTGGGGCAGAGACAGTCGAAGTCATGGACACGGTCCCGACAGCGGGCCCCTCTCTGGCATGGATGGCTGGCACAGTCATCCAGGTTGATGGTGCAGAAGCGTCCAGCAAAGCCCTCAGGGCAGAGGCAGGAGAAACGGTTTATCCCGTCCATGCAGGTGGCGCCGTTTGCACAAGGCCGCATCAAGCAGTCATCAACATTCACCTCACAGCGAGTACCCACAAATCCTGCCAGGCAGCGGCACGTGAAGTTCAGGGCAAAGCCCTGGTTGTCTTGGCACTGCCCGCCATTCCGGCATGGGGAGCTGGGGTGAGAGAGGGAGAGGGTATGGAAACCAACTTACTGACATCTGCAGGGTAGCCTCAGTCAGCATCCTGACCACCATCATACTTTCCAGCTCTGTCAACTTTGGGCCAGCCTTTCTGAGCCTCAAGTATCTCATTTTTCAAATGAGAATAAAAATAGTACCTGACTTACCAAGTTGTGAGGCTTAAATGAGATAACCCAATGTAAAGCACTGAGCACAGGGCCTGGCTGAGAGGCTCAGTATGGGTGTGCTATTATTATCCTCACAGGCTCTCAGGCCTGGAAAGGAAATGAGGGCAACTAGTCCAGCCCCTACTTGCCCATTTCCTCTTCTGTACAAGGAGGCATAAGACTGCTATATGGAACATCTTTAGGGGCTTCATGCCAGTTTTCATGGAGGAGGAGGGGAGTCCTAGTCCCTCAACACCTCCACACCTTCTTTACCCAGCCAGAGCAGTGGCACATTTATCTGTGTACACCTCTAGCTCCTATAGTTACTGTTTGTTTAAAGAAATTATTCCATAGGTACTAAAGGGAAAAAAAAAAAAAAGACAAAAACCTGGACACTTGGACATGCTGGGATTTTTCCTACGGTGCCCCGTAGAGGTTTCCCAGCCCCCATACCTTCACCACTACCCTCTAAATAGTCATATCTCCTCCCTCATCACCTGTGTCACCAGATTCTGATCTAACCCCCCACTGACCCTTGGGCCCAGGACTCACCCTGCCCGCTCACAGGGCCCAGCCTTGCGCTCACAGTCACGCCCGTGGAAGCCTGGTGGGCACACGCAGTGGTACTCACCGCCCCCATCATACACGCACTGGCCTCCATTCCGGCAGGGGGACTGCGTGGTACAGACATGCTCATCTGGAGAGGAGACAAGGAAGGCTCTGGGCTAGCCCTGCACTTTTGGTCCCCATACCTCTCGGGCCTCGCTCAACTGGGCTTTTAGACCAAAGGCTCTGTGTGTGTGGCTTGAACTACAAACCCACTATGTCGGAGTTTTTTTTTTTTCCAAGGAAACCACCCCCACTGAATCTGTCTCAAAGTAATTTGAGGCAGGTATCTCTTCCGTGGCCCTCAATTTTCTCATCTGTGAAATGAGTATAATTTTTAGCAGGTGTCTTGCCAGCCTCATGGGATTATGTTGAGGATCAATTCAGATAATAAACTGAAACCAAACCCACTGCCATCAAGTCGAATCTGACTAATAGTGACCTCCATTGAGTTTCCAAGGTCATAAATCTTTATGAAAGTAGATTGCCTCATCTTCCTCCCTCGGAGCAGCTGAATTTGAACCACCGACCTGGTTAGCAGCCAAATGCCTTACCCAGTGCATCACCAGAGCTCCTAATTCAAGTAATAGGTAAGTGTAAAATCAAAATAATACAATACATATTTGAGGGTTTGAGCAGGGCACCATAGGTGCTTAATACAGATGATATTTTCTCAAGGTGCATGGGGTCCCCAGCCCAATGGCTAGTCCTGTCCCCCCTACCTTTGTCACAGAACTTGCCCGCCCAGCCACTGTGGCAGATGCACTGCCAGGGCTGGTGGCAGGTACCATGCTGGCAGCCAGGCATCTTCACACAGAGTTCGCAGTGCAGCCCCTCCCAGCCTGGGTCACACCTTTGGAGAGAAGCACAGGATCAGGGCTCTGGGTCGAGAGATTTGAGGAAATGAAAGAGGCAGGATGAGAACAGAAAACAGGAGGACCTAAGACAACCTGAGCCCTGGAGACACAATGGTTCAGCATTCAGCTGCTAACCAGAGTTGGCAGTTCAAACCCACCCAGTGGCGCCACAGGAGAAAAGACCTGCTTCAGTAAAGATTGCAGCCTAGGAAACCCTACGGGACAGTTCTACTCTGTCATATAGTCACCGTGAGTCAGAATTGACTTGATGGCACACAACAACAAACCAAGGAAAAGAGCCCTGGTGGCGCAACAGTTAAGCGCTCAACTGCAATCTGAAAGGTTGCCAGTTCAAACATACAGTTTCTCTGGGGGAGAAAAACCTGGTGATCTGCTCCCATAAAGACCACAGCCTAGGAAACGTCATGGGCAGTTCTCTGTCCCATGGGATCACTGTAAGTCTAAATCAACTCAGTGGTACCCAACAGCAACAACAAAGGAAAGGAGGTCTGTCTCAGGTGGATGCTGGGCTGTAGCAGGGTCATAGCACACATTCTGGAATCAGACCTTCACACACCAGCATTCAAGTCCTGGTTCTACACTTTGTCTAACCTTTCTGAGCTCCAGTTTTCTCATCTGTAAATTGATGATACACCCCTCAAAGGGTGTGATAAGGAACAAATTAAGATGTTGTCTATAAATGTCTCCAGTGATCACTCTTGCCGTGATCGAGGGAGGTACTTGCAAATATATTTTTTCAAATGACCTTGAAAGGTCATCTGGCCAGTCTTCCTACCTCTGACTCTAGGGTAAATGCCTGTGCTATTGTTTTAAAAATCCTCCAAGGATGGAGCTTCCCAAACACCCCCAGCCCCTTGAGCAACCTGTCTTGTCAGCTCATTTCCTTATGTCAGACACACCTTCCTCTTGCTATAGAACATGCCCAACCCCCACCCCAGGGACTCAATAGTCAAATTAATCAAGGAAAATCCTCCATTATATGTGGTTCTCCCCAGCAACTCTTCCCTCAGCCTTCCCTAGGCTGAATCAATTTTTCACGTTATTTCTTTTCCCCTTTCCTCGCGGCTCACATCCCCAAACTCTTGCCCTGTCTTTTCTATACTTGCATTGTAAGGCCCTGGTATCTTGAGGAGGAATGCTTCTGAGTCTATGGATCAGACTTGGAAGAGTAAAGAAGAGGGGGAGATAGATACAAGCTGGAAGACGCAAAAGAGAGGCAAAGCAAAGGAGAAGTTGGTAGGGAGATCCTGATGGCTCTCCCTGTGCGCCATAAGGGGTGATGGGGAATTAACAGTGGGGTTTTAAGCCCCTAGATACTCTGTCCTGGTGTGTGATCTAGCTGTGGGTATGGAGAGCTGGGAAACGAGTCGGGTTCCCACACACATGAAGCAAAGGGTTTGGAGGCACGTGCTCATTACCTGCAGGAGCCGTCAGGCGCACAGCAGCCGTGAGCCAGATCACAGCGGGAGCTGCAGTCATCGGCTGCAAAAGATTGAAGTGAGAAAGGTGAGCCGGAGGTCAACGTTCGGGCCGCGGGACTCCGGAGAGGATGTGGGGTCCTAGTAACTCTACCCTGGGCAAATCTGCTCAGGAGCAGGGCTGCCACACACAGACCCAACCCATTCCGAAAGGGTGACCTGCTTCTCGCCAGCCTCGCGGGTAGGAGCGGCTGCAGTGCCGTCTCTGGCCGGCAGAGGTCAACGTACAAGCGAGGGTGGCCGGCAGGGCCGCGGCCCAGGGCCCGGGGGCGCGCTCACCTCGGGCAGGCTGACCGGGTGCCCCCAGGATGCACAACAGGCACACGAGATGTAGGCAGCGGCAGCCGCTGGGCATGGTCAGCGCCGACCCCCAGGAGGGACGGACCGATGGATGGCCGGACTTGAGGACACCTGTGGGACGGCACGGGATGGGAGGCGGCCGGACGTGCAGACAGGGGCACGGATATGGGCTGCAAATGACCGAAGCAGACGAGGGAAGAGAGGCGTCCGGACAGAAGAAAGGTGTGGGGGTCCCGAGAGGGCGGGGGCGGGGAAGGGTTGAGTGGGAGAGGATTGGACACAGGAACAGGGAAGCGAGGACTGTGGGGAGGGGGCAGCGCAGAGCGAGGCGAGGGCGCAGTCGGGGACGTAGGGGTCCGCAGGGATACGGACAGCTCCGAGAGGCGGCCTAGAGCACTGCGGGGACGATGGGACCGGAGGGAGGGGCCCTTCCCAGAAGCAAGCAGTCTCCGCCCCCTAGTCCCAAGGCCCCCCAGGACTCGTTCCCGCGTCCCCTTCGCATCTGCACGGCGTTCGGCTCGCGGAGGCGCAGGGCCTGGACTCGTGCTACGGACCCGTGCGCCTCTGCCCTCCCGGTCCTCACCTCGGGCTGGAAGGCGGCGCGCCCAGGGCGCAGAACCGGACCAGATCCGACTCTCGCCACGAGGGGCGAAAGGGGCTCGGGGTCGCCCCTAGCGGGCCGCGGGGCCAAGCACCGAGGCGGCTGCCATGCAAGCAGAGCACTTGGGAATCTGGGGCTCGAGGCGACCCCGAGCGGCGGCGGTAGAGGAGGCTCCTCGCGCGCGCTCAGGCCGTCTGCCAGGGGCGGCGTGCGCCGGCGAAGCCCGCCTCCCCCCGGGGGCGCCACGGGCCCGCCCCCAGCCTGGCGCGTCCAGCACCCCCGCCCCACCCGCGACGCACGGCGCGCACCTCGCCCGGGCGCTCACCCGGGGCCGCTGCTGTTCCGCGCTGACCTGGGCCCCAGCCTCAGCTGCCCGGTACAGCCAACCAACCTCTCCGAACCTCGCTTTCTTCAACCAAGGGAGGAAATTGTCAAGTGCCAGCCAAACGTGTGCGTCCCTGTGATTCTACCATGTCGCAGCCCCGCTGTTCTTACCCGCGCCCCTCACCCTATGTCCCACCTCTGCTGTCACCTTTCACTTCCCATCACACTTCTCATCTATATCCCTTGCACACTCCGGGCACTTGGCCGCTCCCTGCCCTCCTCCTGTCACCAGGCCACGCCTCCTCTGCTTGTAAAGCCTTCATCACCCCTTCATCTGTTTGCTCATCGCATCCTCCGCTTCTTTTCCTCCTCTTCGCCATCCATAGCCTTCCAGAGTCGTCCCTTGGCTATCTAAATATCCAGCCTGCTCCATATCCTCATATCTCCCTCTCCGTCAAGTCAGTCTTTCCCACCCCATTCCTTTCCGCGACTGCTACTGGGAAGCTTCCCTGGACCGGGGACGCTCCCTGACTCTGTAAATGTGCCTGGCAACTTCCCATTTCTATTCCCCTTCACATGCAGTTCTTGGCTTTAGGGTAGTCGTCAGCTGCCCAAGCTTGGAGCTCAGATTGGGAGAGTTGGGCGAGGTGGGGGAGTAGTAGCCCCACTACGCTAAAGACTCATAGAAACCTGTGCAAGACAAGGACTTGAAACATAATTTCTTGCTTGAGCAGGACAAAAGAGCAGATGTCAGAAACGCCAATACGCATCTCTGCTCCTTCAGATCAAGATTTCACCATCTTTAAATTCAAAACATTGGGAGGAGGAGTCGCTAGTCCATGCGAAGAGCTTCTGTAGCCCTTACTGTTAATTGTTGGAGGCATTGTGCGTAACACCCACACTCACCCCAGCTCTCCTGCTAGCTTCCCCTCAATTCTGATCACTTCTCTGAAGACTGAATTTGAGTAATACCACCTGACTATTTTGTTTTAAATTTTTTTTCAGTGAAAAATTGCAAAACAACCTATAATGTCCAAAATTTACAGGTTAAATAGATTATGGTATGTCAACATTACACAGCTATTTTTTTAAAAAATCACCTTTTTAAAGACTACAGATATAAAAAAAAAACTAAGACTGTGTTAAACCAAAAAACCAAACTCACTGCCATGGAGTTGGACCCAACTCAGTGACCCCTCCTTGGGTTTCCGAGACAGTATCACTAGGGAACTAGTTTGCCCAACCTTCCTTCTGAGGAGTGGCTGGGGGGTTTGAAACACCAGCCTTCTGGTTAGCAGTCAAAATGCTTTAGGCACTGTGCCACCAGAGCTCCTAAGACTATGTTAGTAGGGAGAAAAGTGAGAAACAAAGTAGAACCTACCTGAGTGCTGGCAGTGATTTTCTATGGTTGATGGAATTTTTTTTTTTTTTTCTTATTGATACTTTTCAGCATTTCCACCTTTCTTACAGCAAACGTGTACAATTTTTTTTATTATTATACAAGAAATCCAATAGCATTAAAGAACTTACAGAAGTAAAAAAAGAAAGAAAATCACCCATAATCCTGCTAGCCTGGTAAAACCTCTATTATCATTTGTCCCCTCTCTTTTGCTATCCAGCTGTTCTTACACAGGTAGAATCATAATGTACCTACAATTTTTAAAAAATTATTTCTAATGTGATTTGGGTGAGTTCACAGAGCAAATTCATTTTCTATACAGCAGTTCATACACTGTATGTTTGTTTCATGACATTTACTGCAATTCCCCACAATGTAACTAACAGCTCTCTTCTCGCTTCCTCTCGGTGGTTACCTCTTCCCTGTGTCCTTTCCTATGCATTCCTGCCCCAACCCCCAGCTGTCTCCCTGTGAAAATACTGCCCTTCTGTCCTCCCATGATTGATGGCGGAAAGGAGTGTATCTACCCAATGTAAATGTTCACCCTATATGCCTATTGTTTGGCTGGAAGCCACCGGAGTGAGTTCAGTTCCAGACCTGAAAGGTAACTAGGGGCCATAAATCTTAGGAATCTCACCAGGCTCTAACAAACCAGTAAATCTAGGGTGTTTTTGTTTGTTTGTTTGTTTGTTATTATTTTTAATTTTGCTCCACATTGTTTTCCTACTCTATCCAGGATCTCCTGCATTGATCCCTCTCTGAGTGGTTGACAGTGGTAGCCAGGCAATATCTTGTTCTTCTGGTCTCATGGTCATACAGGCTGAGGATCGCATGGTCTACTAGTCCCTTGGGCTAATTGTTTCCATGCATCTTTGGTTCTCTTCATTCTTCTTTGGTATGGATGAGGAGAGACCCGTGGTTGCATCTAGATGGCCGCTTGCAAGCTTTTAAGACCCCAGTCACACTACTCACACCAAAGTAGGATGTAGAACAATGTTTTTGTGTAGTAGGTTATGCCAGTTGAGCTTGATGTCCCCTGCAACCATGGTCCAAGCTCACAGGTCCAACTACTTGCTCCCTCAGGACAGTTGACTGTGGCTAAGAAGTTATCATAATTTTGCGCCTTATTAGCTCTATTATGTATTTGGACATTCTTACAGCACATACAAATTTGTATGTAGAAATATCATCTACCAACCTTATATATGGTCATGGGTATATTCCCTTTTGCCTAGACATACCTGATCATTCAGCCTATCTACCTATCTACTTAGGAGCTCTGGTAGCATAGTGCCTGAAGCATTTGACTGCTTACCAGAAGGCTGGCGGTTCAAACCCACCAGCCACTCCTCGGAAGGAAGATGAGGCAATCTACTTCCGTAGTGATACTGCCTCGGAAACCCAAGGAGGGGTCGCTATGAGTCAGGTCCGACTCGACAGCACATAACAACAACAACAACCTATTTATTTACCCATAGATTAATGTTTGTTATCACTGACAAGGCAATACTGTATATGTAAAAGGGTTTATTTTTGTTATCTGTACCTCTTGTGTACCTCTCTGTGTCTTCTTCTTCCAAAGTGCCACCATGTTGATCACTCACCAAAAGGTACACATATCCTGCTGTTTTTACTCAATGTCATATGTTGATTGTCTTTAAAAGCGTAATTTTAGGTGGCTGCATGCATATTCTATTAAATTAAAAAAAAAAAAAAACCAAAAAACCTCACTGCCATCAAGTCGATTCCGACTCATAGTGATCCCCTTTGGAAATCTGAGGTGGTAAATCTTTATGGAAGTATATTGCACAGTCTTCCATAATTTATTTAACTATAATTTATTTAAGCTAGCCCTTATTATTTGGTATTTAGGTGGTGTTTACTTATATGCCATTATAAGTTCATTCAACAAATATATATTGAGTACCTACTATGTGCCAAACATCATCCTAGGCACTGGGAATATAGCTCTCAGATAAATAGTAATGCCACTAATTTTCTTTTTTTAATGTGAGTTATTTGTTGTTGCTGAAAATATACACAGCAAAACATACATCGATTCAACAATTTCTACATGTATGATTCAGTGACATTATCTTCTTCAAGTTGTGCAGCCATTCTCATCCTCCTTTGCTAAATTATTCCTCCACCATTACCATAAACTCACTGTCCCTAAGCTTCCTATCTAAACTTTCAAGTTGCTATTGTCAATTTGATCCTATATAGATAATTCTTTAAACAAACGTAATGCTCAAGGCAAATCTCTTTTATAATTAAATTATTTTCGGGAGCCCTGGTAGCATAGTGCCTAAGGCACTTGACTGCTAACGAGAAGGCTCGCAGTTCAAACCCACCAGCCACTCCTCAGAAGGAAGGTTGGGTAATCTACCTCTGTAGTGACGGCTGTTGTTGTTGCTGTTGTTATGTGCCGTCGAGTCGGCCCCGACTTATAGCGACCCCTCCTTGGGTTTCCGAGGCAGTATCACTACGGAAGTAGGATTGCCCAACCTTCCTTCCGAGGAGTGCCTGGTGGGTTTGAACCGCCAGTCTTCTGGTTAGCAGTCAAGTGCTTTAGCCACTATGCTACCAAATCCAAGGAGGGGTCACTATGAGTTGGGTCCGACTTGACAGAACATAACAACAGCAACAAAAAACTATTATTTGGTTTAAAGAAGACTTCAGGTGACATATTTGGTTTAAGGTTTAAAGATTACTTCAGAGCAATAGTTTTGGAGATTCATCTAGCCTCAGTGACTCTGGAGGAATGTTGGGCAATCTACTTCCATAGTGATACCATCTCGGAAGCCCAAAGAGGGGTCACTATGAGTCAGGTCCAACTTGACGGCACATTACAACAACAACGACTCCAGAAAGTCTAGATTCTATGAGTACTTGAAATTTTGCTCCACATTTCTTCCCCTTTTGATTAGGATTCTTCAATAGAATCTTTGATCAAAACATTCAGTAATGCCACCAATTTACTTGCATATGGTTTTCTGTATGTTTTAGGTTCCTTCCTTAAAGTCTGAAGAGATGAGGGACTAATCGAAGAAGTGGTGATAAATGAAAAATTCCTTTTCACTAATGGCATTCATTGAAATTCACCAATGAAATGATAAAGATACTTGAAGCTTTTGAAGCTGATGGCATCAGACTATATCACTCACTACCCCTCATGCTTTGAACCTTTTGAGGTAGGTTCTGTTTTGTTTCTTTGAACAAGTTTCTTTTGAACATTCATGAGTGATATTGTCCGATGGCTTGTTGTCACTATCTTCCCTCACTTCTTTCAAATTCTTGGTGATTCTTAGTGATTCAGTACCACACAGATAATTCTGTCGATATTCAGTGTGATAGATTGTTTGCAACAAAGGTCATTACACTTTCTCCTATCCCACGTGACCCTTTGCAATGACTTTGCTGCTCCCCCCAGCAAGAAGTGGTATATATTTGTCAACCTTTTGAGCCTGAGCTGGCCTTATGA